ATTTGCACTCTGATTGGCTGCTCCCTGCAGGTAACATGGAGGCGGGGGAGTGGGCCTGGGACTAACGCGGGGGGCAGGGGAGTGGGCTCTAACCCCAAGCAGCAAGAGGGAAGGGGGGGTGGTCCCAGATGGGGGGGTGCGCCTAGGACTGTCCCTGCCCACTCCTCCCCCTGCCCCCCATCATTCTTGACAGCTAATTGGCTAGTACAGAATAAAATGGTAGTAGCATAATTAGGGCAGGGTGACTAGAACAGCAGCCCTGGGTATTCGGGGGGTGGGGGGAGGGAAGGTGCATAAAAATGGCACCTGATGCAGTTGGTGTCTGAATGCACCACTGCAACCAGCATCCAAGAGCTGCTGCTGCCCTGAAAGCTATGCTGCCCTGTTATGCCTCTGCACATCAGATTCCTTGCTCTGAAGATTTTACAAAGGGCATAAAAGGGTGCATTGTGGCTAGCTGAGAAAGCAATGAAATATCTGTTCAGATTTCATGGGTGTAATCCCAAAGATTTCTGTAGGATTTTTGCTACTATAATCCAAAGAGAAGCTTCACTCAAGGACTGATATATGGGCATTCTGGGCCAGATTTTTAGGTGGTGTAAATCAGGGTTGTCCCATTGATTTGTAACATGCTGATTTTCACCAGAGAACTCCCTGACCTTACAGGTGGTAGGTGGATCGAAGTTTTCAGGACTGACTTGAACAAGCAGATGGTGGATGCTTGGTGGAGCATTAGTGGCTAATTATCAGGTTGATCCACATGACACACAGGAAATAAGCTGAAAGCTAGGAGCAGGTAGAACATCCAAAAAGGATCAGTTAGTGGAGTACCAAAGACCATCACACAGTCAAAACTTTACCTCTTGTAGCCATGAGTTGTAACTAAGGAGAAAAATCCTTTGTGTTAAACATTCAAATTAGTTTCACCCTTGCCTCCTTTCTGGTTACATTTGTCTCTTCTTTGGTGCACATTTATTTGCCACAGTGTCACAAATTCATTTTCCTCTCCGTTCCCCTGTCTGAAAGAACAAATTCCTGAGAAGTCTAGCATTCAGATACACACCGCAGGAAAAACTGTGTGCAGTCCTCAAAAGTAACACATTATTATTCTTTTCCACCCTCTCTTCCTGCTGCAGTCCATGCTCAGTTTTCACAACAGGAGCAAAAACCAGAATATGATGACCTGTCTATCCAGCAGCGACAAGACAGTAAGTGCTTTTGCTATGCTTTATATCTTTATTGAATAGCTAAATCCAGTTAATAGTGCCTTAAAAACTCAGCACTTTGGACGTAGCACAACGAAAATGTGCTGTGCCTTTAAATAAGGAGGAAGGAAGTTTCCATTGTGAGCAATGCTCAGACTTTTCTCATTAATGCTGAAGTGCCAAATCCTCACCTGGTATTAATTGATAAAATTCCATTGAAGTAAATCTGCTTGTACTGATTTCCAACAGCTGAGGATCTGGCTCATTGGCATGATACAGGCATAATCTATAGTTTTTATAATGTGTACATATGCCTATCTACAAGTGTGCTTTATGTGGGTGGGTTTGTTTACACATCTATCACAAAGACAGTTCATAGCCGGTAATAAAAATGCATTTTCTTCATTCTACTGAGATAACTGGCTCACTCATGAAAGGCAACAAAAGTCCAGTGGCATAAGCACCACAGGTATTTAGGATGGCTTCTACAGACATGCCTATAATATGCATTGTACCAATTACTGAAACATAGTGGTTATGTATAGTAAAATTAGTGGAGGAGGCCTTCAGTATAACAAAGATGACAAAAAAAATGTTGTATACATTATCTGAAATTATCTCATTAGTATTTTTCTACAATAAATTCCTTACAATGTAACTTATCTGATCAGCATGTAGTAGACTAGGAGTGTGGTTGTAGCCATGATGGTCCAGGAAACATGCCCTTCATTGTTTTATCTGGTCTTCATTGTTTTATCTGGTCTGTTCTTGCTTCTTCCCCAGACCTGAAGAAGTGTCTTTTGTGCCCAGAACTTTGTCTAACATTCTCTCTCAGCTGTACAGAGGGTCCAATAAAAGTTCTCACAAAAAGCCTGGCTAATTAATCTGAAAATTTGAACTTCTAGCCTAAGTAACCCTGCTAGTCATAGTGACATAAAGTTGAACATAGACAAATTGAACTAGACAAGTGTTACAAAATATTAATAGCAGGTGTAATTAGCCACTGGAGCAACTTATCAAGAGTGGTGGCACATTCTTTTTTCCTTGAAAAATCAAGGATGATTGCCTTTCTAAAAGAGATGTTTATTTCCTTCACATATTTTTAGTTAGTTATGAAATCATCAGGTGAAACTGTGTTCTGAGGAAGTCAGACTACATGATCATAATGGCTCCAGTGGCTGCAACTACAGTGAGGTTTCTGCAGCTGGAGTTGAGGAACAATAGTGCAGCTCTCAGGATTGCCTATCCCTTTCATTACTGAAACCAAAGAAACCCTCATAGGATTGAACACGAACAGCCAAGGACCCTATCCTGGCTATGGGCGACCTTAGGTGGAAAAGCACTATGAACATAATGAAGAAGTTGTAGAATTTTACAAAAGCTTATCCCATTTGCCTGAAGTGTGTGTGTGTGTGTGTGTGTGTGTGTGTGTGTGTGTGTGTGTGTGTGTGTGTGTGTGTGTGTGTGTG